TATGAGCTAACAGTGACTTAATCATATGAATCTAAATATTATCTTATGATAATCAAATCATAAATTGTTACAAAAGGCATTTCACTTAATCTCAAAATCATGAAGCTAATACTTTTTTTTAACCTGTAACATCATATAAAATAAATAAGCCATATGCTTACAGCTGTACTTAAATTCCTTTCAAACTATGTTAGGTTCCTTTACAAGATTGATTATTATGATATAATAGAAAGCCACTAAATACTGTAATCACTTTGTGTAGACTGATCTTTTTAAAAATTCACGATTAAAATTTTAAAACATTCTGTACAAATTTAAGAAACCCTTTTTTTTTTAAATGAGACAGAGTCTCACCACGTCACCCTCTGTAGAATGTTGTAACATCACGCTCACAGCAACCTCAAACTCTTGGGCTCAAGCGATTCTCTTGTCTCAGCCTCTGGAGTAGCTGGGACTACAGGCGCCTGCCACAACGCCTGGCTATATTTTAGTTTTGTTTAGCAGGCCTGGGCTGAATTCGAATGCACCAGCCCCGGTGCATGTGGCCGGCACCCTAACCAGTGAGCTCTGGGCACCCAGTCACAAATTTAAGAAACTTTTACACCTGCAATTACTGAGCATCTCCTCTGTCCTACTCAGTAGCTCCTCCTCCCCACTTTATCGCGTGCTAATGAAAACATAAGATGGTAAGCATCTAAGGGGTGAAGAAGAAAAAGCAAGACCAGGCATGATCTCTGTCCATTTACGTCTGCTAAACCAGCAGGCCAACAGAAACGGTCTCTTCTTCAAAATAGCTGTGATAGCAGCTGGACAATGTTTCTAAGAGCGGTAGTAAATATAAGTCAAAACTTGAGTTCAAAAAAACTACTACATAGAGTCACCTATGATTAAATGATTTTAAAAACTCATAATGAAGGCTGGGTATGGTGGCTCATGTCTATAAATCCTGGCACTCTGGGAGGCTAAGGCAAGAAGATGGCTTGAAGCCAGGAGTTGAAGACCAGCCTGAGCAACATAACCAAGTAACAAGTAACATAACTTGTTACTAAAAAGGAAAACAAAAACCAAATTAACTGTGTGTGGTGGCAGTATCTGTAGTTCCAGCTGTTTGGGAGTCTCAAGCAGGAGGATCACTTAAACCCAGGAGTTTGAGGTTGCAGTGAACTATACTTTAGCCTGGACGAAAGAGTGAGACTCTATCTTAAAAAAACAAACAAAGAAAACAAAAGATTTATAATGTAAGAAACATTTATACTATAATTTTTCCTTTCGATTTGTTTCTACGACTATTTTTTTTTCTTGGATCACTGTAAACTAAGCTAAGGGAGAAAAAAGGGGAAAATTTAGTAAAGACTGTGTAATATAGTAACAATAATGTAAAAGTAAAAGGAATGAGAAAAAAGAAAAAAAATGCAACTTTTAACACAACTTATTTTACAAAATATAGATATAAAAGATGAATACATAAGGACTAACCAATGTGAACAATATACAAATATCCTTAAAATAAACAACTTCCATTTTCCTTATATACTTTACTCATTCTAGATATACACACAAAATGCAATGCCAGTGTATTATTTCAGAGCAAAATATGTCAATAGCATCAACTAGCCTTTTAATTTTAAGATTTTAAAAACACGGCTCAG